TTTTTTTGGAGGGAAGTGAGGGAGCACAGGACGAGGAAAGGGGAAGGGGGTATCCTGCAAAGAAAAAAAAACTGAAGATGACGAATTCGCGACCCCAATTTGGAAATTTGATGACGATCCCCAATTCAACCGATTAAGAAGCGAAAAGACTAATATGCTGAGTTGTCTGCTAGGCAACTTCATGACATGAATCGCTTTTTTATAAAGGAGATAAGGTTCAAGGGTATTTCTTGGCTACACAGGCTTTAGGCCAACTGCCCGCAATTCTGAGGGTCCATTGTAATTATCTAAACAAGACTCAAAAGTTGCACATAAGCATTTTATAACTGAGTGTTATGCCTGTTTTTGATAGAATGCGCATCCTTGTACATTTTGCCAAAAAAAGGCATTCATTCAGTTATAAAACGCTTAGAATACTCGGCAAATGCACTGGATACTCCATCAGAGTATCGAAAATCTACTAAAGACTGGCTTTTCTATCATTGGTTCTCACTCTTCATAGACAACCAACCTGCTGCAGAAGCTGCCAAACACAATCGATAAACTGAACAAAAACTGGTGATCTTTCTCCATCTGAAGACTTGTCTTCTCCATGACCTGAGAATAACAAATAGAAAAACCTCAAAGGAATTTTTTCCCAAACTTACGTACCAATCCTATGTGCAAACTTATGACCAAAACTGCACCATTCTTTCTCTATAAGTACAGCAAAACCCTTAATTGTGCGATAGTAGGGATCAAGCTGGATCATTGCCAGAGCGGTAAGCTGCAAGAGCGATTTGACAGAAATATCGAATGCTACAATTAGATAAACGAACTTGAGCGGTACGATCCCATCCATCCGAGCAATGCACAAGAACCGAGTTCCGGTTTTGCTCTACTTCAGAAACAATCTGTACAGCTCCTTCGATTATGGATTGTATATGGTTCAACCATTTCGATTCATCCACTAGCTTTAGATAATTCTTCTCATCAACACGAGGAAACAAGCAATCCTTCAGCTTTCTTAGCCTAAGAATTGTACACATATTTATAACTTCAAATAATTAAATGAAAGATTAAAACTAACGACTCTCGAACAACGTGTATATTGTGAATGTTGAGGAAGAGCAAGTGGCATTGATCATAAGACTCTTCATAGCCGCCTCCTTTTGCTTTATTCACCTAAGAAAGCTAAAAAATAAAAAGAGATAACTTGAGAGCATGAAATATTTTACTTGGTAATAATTTCTCAAAAATCGAGAAATTAAGTTGGAAGTTTTCTATTGGAATGTAAAATTCGGTTGAAATTTGTGGAGGAACTAGGATCCAGAGTCTCCGTTCTCAACACTATCGGCAAGATATCACAGAATTTTCGGTTTTTAACAGCTCATTTATGCTTAACCATGCAAATATCACTACCTTTGCATTAACGATTGGCCGGGCATCGAATATAAGCAGTTGATGAGTATGTGCATTAGCAGATACTATTTGTTTCAAAAACCTTAAAGCAGACATACTTCGCAGGGAAGAAAATTAAAACTAAAAGCGCACCATTCGTCATCTGGACATCTTTTATTTGTCATTCCTGACATTGGCTGCGAGCATCGTGTTATTGATGCTTGAGTTTCTGGATGGAGCCAGCTCAATACCTAGGCATATAAGTACCTTAATGAAGTAAATGTTTTCAAAAGTCTGGGATGTACCGGGATGCG